AAGCCGGTTTGGCTCAGTGGATAGAGCGTCAGCCTGTGGACTGAAGGGTCCCAGGGTCGATTCTGGTCGGGGGCATGTACCTGGGTTGTGGGCACTTCCCCAGTGGGGGTTGTGCAGGAGGCAGCTGATTGATGTTTCTCTCTCTCATCGATGTTTCTATCTCTCTATCTCTCTCTTCCTCTCTGTAAAAAATCAATAAAATATATTTTAAAATAATAATAATAATAGAAATGCCCAGCCCCGAAGAATTCCAACCTCAGTAGGCCAGAGTCAGAGGCAGGAATGTGTGTGTATTTTTTTTCAAAACCTCCCCAGGCGATTCTGATTACCAGCCAGGTTTTGAAACCATTGATCTTGGTTACTCAGACACTAGCATTGAGTCACCTGGAAAGATCAAAGATGGCACCGCCCACGCTACCTCCTCCTCCCACAGGAAAGTGAAGACACACTATCTATAGGTGCAGCCAGATCCTTAGCTCGACCCCGTTATAGAGCCAGCGTGCACCCTGTGCACCTGAAATATTCAGGAGGCAGCCCCCACTGGCTTCGTGTTCTAGGGGGATGGGCCCCACCGACTCAAACGAACTGGAAATCCTCTCCACCTTCTTGGAATAGTTCAGTCACAGGTCTTGTTCTCTTGGGGTTCCTATGAGTTGGTCCCACTCTTTACCAACGTTCACCCGCAGGTCCCGCCCACTTCACCTATTTAGAGACCCAGCTCCACCCACTTGGAATGCTCAGGCCACTCCGAGCTGCTCTCCATGAGAACACCCACCACTCATGTAAAGACCCCCAGGGTCAGCCCTGGCTGGTGTTGCTCAGTGGATAGAACCTCGGCCTGGGGACTGAAGGGTCCTGGGTGCAATTCCGGTCAAGGGCACATGCCCAGGTTGCCGGCTCGATCCCCAGGAGGGAGCGTGCAGCAGGCAGCTGGTCAATGATTCTCTCTCCTCATTGATGTTTCTCTCTCCCTCTCCCTTCCTCTCTGAAATCAATTTAAAAATATATATTTTAGCCCTAACCCGTTTGGCTCAGTGGATAGAGCATCGGCCTGCGGACTGAAAGGTCCCAGTTTCAATTCCGGTCAAGGGCATGTACCTTGGTGTGGGCACATCCCCAATGGGGGGTGGGCAGGAGGCAGCTGATTGATGTTTCTCTCTCATCAATGTCTCTAACTCTCTATCCCTCTCCCTTCCTCTCTGTAAAATTTCAATAAAATATATATTTAAAAAAATATATAGATTTTTTTTTAAAAAAAGACCCCAGGGTCAGGACCCCCGTAATATGAATACTAGACAACCAGCCCCACCCACTCAGCGGACTCGGAGGGCGCCCAGGGCAGCGGGGTTAGGCTTACCTCGGGGGCTATGTAGTCTGGGGTCCCGCAGAAGGTGCGAGTCGTGTTCCCGGGGAAGACGTTCTCCTTACACATGCCGAAGTCGGTGATTTTGATGTGTCCCTCGGCGTCCAGCATCACGTTGTCCAGTTTCAGGTCCCTGCGGTGCGGGGGTGGGGTGAGTAGGAATGGAGTTCAATGGGCTAGAGCCCTAGGTCCAAATCCCTTCCCCTCTAGGGGCCTGACCGCCCCCCCCCCATGGAAAGGCCTGGGGCTGCTCACCGGTAGATGATGCCCTGATTGTGAAGGAAGAAGAGGCCGATGGCGATTTCTGCGGCGTAGAACCTGGAGGAGGGGGTGGGGTCAGAGGTCAATGGCTGGACCCCGCCCCCAAGCCTTCCATCTTCCCTCCACCCTCACCTTGGCCGAGACTCACGCTGCATGGGGCTCCTTAAACTTGCCCAGCTGCTGAATGTGGTACATCAAGTCGCCCCCGGTGACATACTCCATCACAAAATACAGGCGATCCTGGGGGGGAGGGGGTCAGGGGGGAAGTGGGCGGGTCTTAGAGGCAAGGACACGCCCACTAGCCGGTCCCTGCCAGCCTGTGCGCCCAGCATTGGAAGCGAGCCCAGCTGTCTTGCTAAATGGGTGGTTCCTATTCACCGGAGACAAACATGAAAGGCTGGGGGGCCACCCAATCAGAAAGCCAGAATAACTGGCCACGCCCACCATGACCCAAAGTATTCTAACAAGGCCGACTCAGAATCTCCACCTGCCCCATGGGCTGTTAGAACAATACGTGTTCTGGTCCCGTCCTCTCAGAATTGAAGCTTGAGAATTGGAGAAAAAGAAAAAGAAGTAGAAGAAGATCCACTATTTGCTGGAATCCCAAACCTCTTTCACAGCCACTCACACACATGCAGCAGTTCTGGCCCCCTGTTAGGAGCCAACAGGTATACGCCTCACCTGCAAGTGATGATACTGATAATGATCCTATAGAATAAAACCCTAATATGCAAATCGACTGAATGGCAGAATCACCGGTCGCTATGACTGCACTGACCACCAGGGGGCAGACGCTCAACACAAGAGCTGTCCCCTGGTGGTCAGTGCACTCCCATAGAGGGAGCGCCACTCAGCCAGAAGCCAGGCAGCACTTAAGGATGTCTGACTGATGGCTCCTGGACTGCGAGAGGTCGCAGGCCAGGCTGAGGGACCCTTTCCCCCGTAGAGTCACACCCTCTCAAACCCCTGACGGTTCAGCCTCCTTGTCCCATTCCACAATCTTGGGAAATCCTTCTATTTGATGAGTCCTTCATTCAGAATCCAAGAGTGAGGCGACCTACTCTCCCAGCCCAGTTCGGGGCTCACCCCCTCAAAAGACATTCTTCACGCACCCCTTTACTCAACAACCCTTTACTCAAAAACAACCCACTCAACACCCAAGGCAAGCTCGCTGGGGCCACGCCCACACCGGATCCATCAGGCTGGCCACGCCCACTAGGGCTCATCCAGCTGGCCCCGCCCACGCATGGCCCATCCATCTGGCCACGCCCATACAGGGCCCATCCATCTGGCCCTGCCCACTCAGGGCCTATCCATCTGGCCATGCCCATTCAGGGCCCATCCAGCCGGCCCCGCCCACTCAGGCCCACTCAACACTCAAGGCAAGCTCGCTGGGGCCACGCTCACACCGGATCCATCAGGCTGGTCACGCCCACTAGGGCTCACCCAGCTGGCCCCGCCCACGCAGGGCCCATCCATCTGGCCACGCCCATTCAGAGCCCATCCATCTAGCCACGCCCACTCAGGGCTCATTCATCTGGCCCCGCCCACTCAGGGCCCACTCGGCTGGCCACGCCCACTCAGGGCCCATCCATCTGGCTCCGCCCACTCAGGGCCCATCCATCTGGCCACGCCCATTCAGAGCATGAAGCTCTTTGGCCTTGACTTCAGCTCAGAACCCTGGAGCAGGTGCCTGATGGGGCGGGGAGGGGGGGAGGCGGGGCTCTGGAGCCAGCCTCGCCCCTCCCTCCCTCCTTACCGGGGTCTGGAAGGTGGAGTGGAGCTGGGTGAGGAAGTGGGGCCGGCCCCCCGGGCCTCGGCCCCCCAGAGCCAGCACGCGCTTCTCCACCAGGGTGCAGTCCACGTCGTCATCCTGGACGATCACGTCTTTCTTCAGGATCTTGATGGCGTAGAGCTCCTCGGAGCCCCTCCGCTCCGCCAGCATCACCTGGGGACGGAGGCCCAGAGGCCCAGTCGGTCTGGGGACACCCAGGGGTGCAGGTCCCTGGCCCTCCCTTTTGGGGACACAGAGAAGCAAAACCTCGGGCCCTTCCTCTCCCGCTCCGGGGATCTGGTCCCCTGCCTGTGCCAAAAGTTCCCTCAGGGAAAGCAATCCTGATCTTTCTCTTTAAAAATTGTTAGGAGTTTCCAGCGGTTCTCAACCTGTGGGTCGCGACCCCTGTGGCGGTCGAACGACCCTGTCACAGAGGTGGCCTAAGACCATCCTGCATATCAGATATTTACATGACGGTTCATCACAGTAGCAACATGACAGTGATGAAGTAGCCACGAAAATAATTCTATGGTTGGGTCACCACATGAGGAAGTGTATTTAAAGGGCCAGAAGGTTGAGAACCACTGGTAGCCCTGGCTGGTTTGGCTCAGTGGATAGAGCGTCAGCCTGCAGGCCCCCAATAGGGGGTGTGCAGGAGGCAGCCGATCCATGATTCTCTCTCATCATTGAGGTTTCTCTCTCTCTCTCCCTCTCCCTTCCTCTCTGAAATCAATAAAAATATATTCAAAAATAAAATAAAATTTTGGTGAGTTTATTTGAGCTAAACTGAAGACATACGCCGCATAGCAAGACCTCAAACGCTCTGCCATTCACATCTTCATGTGTCTCCTCTCCAGGGACCTGAGGGGCCCCATCCAACCCTCTTCGGGGACTCAGTCCTTTTCCTGGCTGAGGACCAGAACTGTGACCACCCTCCAGACACCCTCCCCTCCCCCCCAGAGCCCCGGGAATCCGACCTTCCCGAAGCTGCCTTTTCCGAGAACCATGAGGAAGCTGAAGTCGGAGATGTGCAGGCGTCCCGGGCTCGCCCCGAAGAAACAGCGCTTGGAGTCCGTGGGACTAGGGGACGGGGAGGGGATGGGAGAGGAAGGACCCATCCGCACCCGCTGCGAGAAAGGGAGAGACCCCGAGGTAGTCAGATCCCCCACAGGGACAGGGGGGGTGTGCCCCAAAGAGAGACTGCATCCAGCCCTGGCCAGTTTGGCTCAGTGGATGGAGCGTTGGCCTGTGGACTGAAGGGTCCCGGGTTCCATTCCAGTCAAGGGCACATGCCTGGGTTGCAGGCTCGATCCCCAGTAGGGGGCGTGCAGGAGGCAGCTGATCAATGATTCTCTCTCATCATTGATGTTTCAATCTCCCTCTCTCTTCCTCTCTCTGAAATCAATAAAAATTTATTTTAAAAAAGAAGAAGAAAGAAAGAAAAGGGTGGGGAGAGATGGAGAGTAAATAAAAGTTGTCCCCGCCCCCTGCTTGGCATAAGAACTTTCTAGGACTTTCCAGAGCCAGGGGGTTTATTTATTATTTAAATAGCCCTTCTAGAGCTTACTGTATGCCATTAAGCCTCTGGAAAACCCTGTTAGCACCCCACCCCACCCCCTTTTAGAGAAGAGGAAGCTGGCACAGAGATGTTAGGTAACTTTCCCCAAGTCACACAGTGGATAATAAGCAGAGCCAGAAATCAAAGTCCATGAACGGCAGGTTATGTCTGCCTCCTTCCTGTTTCTCCATCGTCACCCAGAACGTGGCTTGGAACACAAGCGGTCTCAGCAAGAGGGTGTTGAATGGAGGGCGGTCTCAGGAATGCAGTGCCTATCGCTCAACCTTCAGAGCCGACCCAGAGGCTGAACATCCTCACCACCCCTGTGCCCTGGGCCTGCTGCTCCACCTGGGTGGTCGCGATAGCCTTCCCATCTCACTCAGTTTAAAAGCCAAAATCCTTCCAATGAATGACAAGGCTCTTTCCACAATCTTCCCTCTCTGACTCCACCTCCTGCTCTCCCCCACCCCCAGCCTGTCCTCCCTGCCGCGCAGACACTGTGGACCTGCCCCCACCTCAGGGCCTTTGCACGTGCTGTTCCCTCTGCCCGGAAGGCCCTCCTCCTCCGCTCTCCTCTCCTCGTGGCTCACTCTCTCACCTCCCTCCCATCTTTGCCTCCCTGCCCTTTCTCAGTGAACCTTTCTCTGCTTACTGCAGTTAAAACCACAAACACTTCTCCCAGGACACGCCCTACCCTCCTTAATGTTGATTTTTCTCCACGTGGCTCATTGCTTTCTAACATGTTCTCGTTTATTTTGTTTCATGTCTTTCTCAGAGTGAAGCCTCATGGGGACAGGAATGTTTTTCCTCTCTTGTTCCCCCGCTCTATCCCCGGTGACGAGGGCCCTGCCTTACCCACAGAGGGGCTCAACAAAATGTTTTATGAACGGATCAATGAGGGAGAAAGTATTCCTTCTTTGGCCCGGGGTCCCTCTCCTTTGCTGGGGAACCCTGCACGTCCTCCAGGCCCCACCTCTCTGGGAAGCTTTCTCTGAGTCTCCCAGGCAGGGCCAGGTACCTCCGGGACCTCCCTGGTGCCCCGTGCCCCAGGCCCTCCATCATCAAACATATTCCATCTGCGAGTGAATTTCTCTGTCGGTAGCTTTCACCGACACTGAAAGGGGAGATGCCCGCACAGGGCTTGGCATATCTAACACTTCTGGAAACAGGTGCTCAGTGAGTGAGTAAACAAATGGAGGAGAGCGAGGCCACCCTGATAAATAGATAGAAAAACTCCAGGATCAAGTCTGGTGGTGCCTCCTCCGGGAAGTCCTCTCTGATTACCTTCCCCCCAAAACTGGGTTAGTCTGTGCCGCTTTAGTGCCCTGGACTCCAATTTAACACATCACCCTGGGATTTAAGTTATACCTGTGACTGTGTCCCTACCTCGGGGAGTTACCTGAGAGTCAGGTTCACCTAGGACTACTCAGCAAGCATAGCCCTGCCACCAGGTATATGTTCGGCCCATGTGTGCGGAAATGAAGACAGTTATTAGGGGAGAGAGAGACACACACACACACAGATCCCAGGAATGAAACTGTCTCCATTCCAGGTCTCAGCGCCACTCACCTCATAGAGTTCCAGGGGGTAGTTACAGGCCTGGGGGGAGGGAGAAAGCCAG